GCTTTTATCATGAGCTTTATTAGTAAATCCATTATATCAAGTAGTATGTGGATCTGAATCTTGACCCATTATATCGATAGTCTCCATTATATCAAGAGCGAGTGATGTGTATTCAATTAATATAATTGGATATACTATATATTCAATTGATTTATAATTTTCTTGAACATGTTTAATATCTGAGTTCAAAAAATTATTTAAATATATTAGACAAATTGAACATAGTCCAATTTCCAAATATCCAATTAAATTTATTTGGACATTGTCTAATATCAACAACGTAGCCAATCATAATATTGTGGCTACAAGCTAATAAGTATGTATCCCATAACTAAGGCATGCCTATCGGCTCTGTGGCATGCCTGTGCCCTGAACACTAGATTATAGCACTGATTGTATGTAATGTACATCTATTTTTCTGAGTTAAAATTCACAGTAAAAATTTAAATTTTCATGATCTCCTTTTATCAATTTATTAACTTTAACATCAATAGAACCAGAGAACTTTATCTACAATTTTTGTGAGAAGATCAAGAATGATTTACATAATAACACTACTTAAAGTTAGAAAATAATTTACACAATTTTATAATGTTTTTTTGTGACGAATAACAGTACATACCCTTTAATTTGTCAAGAATAATTAGAACAATATTATTTTGTTTGATGGAATTAGTTATGTAGAAATTTAATAGACGAATAAAAAATTATATGGCAATGTAAATGGAACGTTTACAACCACAGTTAATTGTTTCATTGAGGGATCATCTGTTTTTTTTTATATATAGTAAAATTTAAAGTGTTTGCCATTTTTACATATTTAAATATCATATTAATGTCGAATGAAGAAATGTGTGTTAACTACTAACCTTTTGCATTGCCAGTTTTCGATTAAATACCTTTACTTGTTGCATTTTAGCCCAATTTTCCAATATTGTACAATCAGTATCTATTACCAATACTTCGCCAAGATTATTGAATGATGAAGCAATCAATGGCCAAATAGCATTTATTCTAATATTTTTACAATCGACAAAATGTAAAACTTCCAGATTTTTAAGTTCAACCAAAACTTCAAATGATTGAACCCAATAAAAATCTACATGATTGAATTTAAGAAAACGTAAGGATTTTGCATGAGCTTGTAGCTCATTCAGGATAAGATGAACAAACAAGCCCTCATGACATATTTGTATGAGTTCTAAAGATTTTTGGACTTTGACAAGATGAGCAACGTCGATATAATGGGTCAAGATTCAGATCCACATACTACTTGATATAATGGATTTACTAATAAAGCTCATGATAAAAGC